AAGTAAACAATAAATGTCTTATCAAACATCTCATGAGTGCTCAGAGGATTATATTTAAACCCTGTTGAAATGAGTCATTTGGAAGTAGTCTCAAAACATTAAATCCTTAAAGCATAAATGTCACTAACTTAAGTATAAATACTAAAGTAGGAGGCTTAAATACCTCCTGAAAAGACAACCAAGGTGCTTTATTTAAAGTTGTACTCCATGATGATATTTTTACTTAAATACCTCCTGAAAAGGTAAGCGGGGTGCTTTATTTAACATTGTACTCCATGCTGATATTTGTACTCCCACCCATTTAAAACAATAAAGATGCACAAAATACGATTTCCTGTGTGATCCATACCACATCTCAAAATAACAAGTTTTCTGATCCACAGCCAGGAAAGGCTCATCTTACTTATCAGACTTTCTTTGCTTCCTCCACCACCTCTCAGCTTTCTTTTGGCCCCAAATCGGTCAAGGCCAAATAAAATACAGCTGAAGCAGTGGGCCATAATGACTTCCGAGTCTCTGATCATATGATGCACACATTGACTTGTGGCACTCTGGCCAGGCCTCGGTTGTCTTCAAGCCTCTTATCCGTGTCCAGTTTGCTCTGGCTCCCCTATGGCAGAACCCATAGCACTGGCCTTCCTAGTGTCTACCTTAAGACTATCCCTTTCCAGGTCACTTTTTATCAATAGATGAAATGAAGAGAAAGACATAATAAAGGATACGAATAAAAGTTCCTGTTTGAGGTAAAAATGATTACTCTGCAGCATGATGAATTAGCTCCATTCATATATGATTGTTGTGAACATATACTTGAGAAGTTCCAATCTTCCTTGTAATTGGGGTTATTTAAATATTTTTCTAGACACTCAAGTCATAAAAGGAAGCTTCTGGCAAAGTAAGGCAAGCCTCTCAGGCCTAGGCACTGGACGGGGGAAAGCAAGCGACGCATATGCATGAGAAGCCAGCTTGATGAATAAATCACTCACAGTTGATTTAAAAATAAAACAAGACACTACACAGTGGTCTTCTGTGACTCTGTATGAGCAGAATGTACAGAACTGAGGCTGGGAAAAAGCTATTAATGAAAATGAACTCCTTGTAAGCCAGAATCCCCAGCAGAAAGAAGTAGCCACCAGAGCTACAGGTATAGATAATGTAAGTTTGATGGTTCTTCAATAAAAGAACTTGCCCAGAAAATGTTAAATGTCTGACCATGAGCTGGTAAAGTCAAGCAGAAGAAACTTGAGGCAAAGACAGCCACAAGTGAATGCCTAGCGGGGAAGATTTTCAACTCTGGCCTCCAGGGAGGATGTTGTCATCGTGGCCTTCGTTGGAGCAAAGCAAGGGCACATCAAGAGTACAGGGCTCATAAAGTTGTGAGGATAGAAAAGACCAAAGGGGTTTTATTCCAAGATGTTTATCCATCTGCACTTTAATAGGGAACATGGTAAAATTACACACACTCCTGCCTTTTAATACTAACCACTTGGTCACTGACTTCTCAGGCCTTCGTTACCTCAGCTGCTATGAGAGGGAGGTAAACCAAATGACTTCTAAGCTCTTGTCCAAATCTTAAAATAAGATTATGTGTGTGAAAAATGCCCATCTGCTATGTGTCCGGTAATGCACTCCACTGTAATATGCTGCTGCGCCCCAGCAGGTTCTGAAGCAACTATTAAAGCCATATGGCAGTGTAAATTACACAGCTATCATCTGGAAGCAGAAATACCTCATGGAATTTCTTACTATTTCTGTGATAATAAAATCTATGGAGAAAATAAAAATTAAGCAGCAAAGATATCTGATAAACCTTTGCTAGGAAGGTGTGTCCTCATGAAAAAGAAGAGGGACTGTTCGAACCTACTTCTTGGCCCTTTCCTCCCAGTTGAAGAGAGAGGATCAGACGGAGAAGAGTTCAGAAAGGAGAGGAGGAGCTCTGTAGAAATATGGCTGTACTGCTGCAGTCTGTATGGTCTAGAGTGAAGAAAAGTTGGCCAGGAGATCTGCATTCTATACCTAACTCTTCTAGTAACCACATTAAAGCTGGACAAGAGAGCTTGCCTTTCCTGCTTGTTTTCTAACAACAATGCTCCATGTCTCTTTTCCCTCAAGGATGAGCTAAGTACAGGAATAAAGTGTGTGAAAATCTTGAGTTCTGGGAAAGAACTATTACAGGTGATAGTGAGCACGCTGATGATAAAGGGGAGGAAACACAGCTTCTCACAAGCACGTAAGCTGCAATTAGATCCAGAGCGGGGGAAGGAGATTCACTGGACCACAGAGGTGAAAAGCAGGTTGTCAGTAGGTAAAAGTGAACAGGATGACTCCAGCACGTACAGCCTCAGTGTCCTCATTCTCAGCCAGACAGGCACGAAGAGCTCAGCATGGCTCATGTACTCCTGAGCTGCAAACAAATGTATTTCCTGTCTTCCTCTTTTTATTTCTTTCTTCCTCCTCTTACCCTTTCCTCTGTTCCATCCAAAACGTTTGCATTGCACCTTAAATGTCCCAAATCCTAGATAGGGATACAACCCTCTGGTTGCTTAGTTACTTGAAGGAAAATAGCTCAGTTTCCACATCCTGTTTAAGGGATCTTCTGGGCTTCTGCTCAGACTAGGGTTCACAGAAAGGCCGGGGCTGCCACAGCCTCAGCTGACAGGAGACCACTGCCATGGTTTCTTTTCCTGTTGATGTGATAAGATGCCTTGAGAAAAGGAACTCGAGGAAGGGTTTATTCTGGCTCACAGTTCAAGGGTAAGTTCATCACAGGGAATTCAAGGTGATGGGAGCCAGTTGGTCACAGCTCATCCACAATCACCAACAGGGAGGGATGAATGCTAGTGATTCACTCACTTCCTCCATTTTGTATGGTCCAGGATCCGTCTGTCTGGCTCACAGTTGAGAGGAGTCTTCCTACATTAGTTAACCTAATAAGATAATTCTGCACAGGCATGCCTAGAGGCCCACCTCTCAGGTGGTTCTAGATCATGTCACATTAGCAACGCTAACTAACCATCACACCCATAGGTCTGGGTCGCTGAGCCCATCTGGTCCACCCTTCTTCAACCCTACCCTGCAACTTTTCCTGTAGCTGGCAGGTAGAAAGACACATATACTCTGGGCCAATTAGAGTAAAGAGAGTTCAGATACTATCTCATTAGGCCTTGATATTTCTAACTTGGGAAAATGTTCCTATAAAGGAAGACAGAGGACTGAGAGTAAAGGTCAAGAGGAACACCTGGGAGCTTGTGATGAAGATATAACACTAAGGCACATGTAAAGCAAATCACAGCAGAGCTGTCTCACTGGGACAGGCGTTCTATTCCTATAGGCTAAGAAATATTCTTTTGAAGTAAAAGTTGGATTCTGTGTATAAAGTAAAAAAATAAATAAATAAATAAATTTCAAATGATAGAATATGGAATCCCAGGAACACAAAGCAACCATTTTCTCATTCATAAATTTAGAGAATGGATCATACATAGACCTGAAACAACAAACAATAATAACTATAGCTTATGTTCTTTTCAGTGTGTCTATTCCATGTATTGTGTTGAGTGTTTGTGATGGTTTGAATGAAAATGTCCCCCACAGGCTCCAAGTATTTGGACATTTTGTCACCACATGGTGGCGCGGTTTTGGGAGGTTTTAGAAGGTGTGGCTATCCTAGAGGAAGCATGTCACTGGGGGTGGGCTTAGAGAATTCTTAAGTGTTGCCGGAGCTCCAGTTACTCTCTTGCTTCCTGTGCCTGCGTGATGATGTGAGAGCTTCACGTCTGCTGCTCCTGCTCCAGCCCCCTCCAGCCATCATGCCTCCCTGCCATGACAGACTGTACTTTCCCTGGAACTGTAAACTCAAATAAACTCTTCCTTCTATAAATTGCTTGGGTCAGTGTTTCTATCACAGCAACAGAAAAGTGACTAATAGAGTGCTTTACCAACACAGAAAGCCTTACAAACAAGGCAAGCATCATTATACTTACCATCCAGAGGAAGAAAGTAGGATTGGAAAGAAAAGTAACATACTCAGGGTCAGCTAAGTCACAAGGGACAGTGGCAAGGTCCAAACCCTGAGCAGCCTGCCTCCAGAGCATGTGCTCAGTAGATTATGCCACACTGTCTCCATGTTTATCTTTTGAAGATTTCACCTGCATTCCCTTTTACCTCTAAGGATGTTAATTGAGGGGGAAAAGAACACAACAGCAAAGAACAAAAGACACATTAAAAAAAAAAAAAAAGGAAGAGCGTTGTGCCACTTCCAAACTATGGTCCTTGCTTTAGGAAAAATAAACAGCTGTAATGTTGAATGAATTTGCTGGTGTCATGCTCATGGAGCTGCCCTAGAGAGGTTATGATGAGGGAAACTGGACTTGGGGCTTCTAAAAGACCTGAATGCAGAGCAACTGGCTGCTCAGACAGACTGTGGGAAGGCAGGACTAGATGCCCATGACCATCAATTACAGATCACATGGGGCAAACTGGATCTTTCCTCCCCTGACTTGTGGGTGTCTTTATCTTGATGGCAGCTCATCTCTCTGATCCGAGATCTTCCCTTCGGATACTTGCCCCTTATTCCAATGACTATAGCCCAGGCAAACACCAGAAGGGACCTGACTCATCTGGATCACATTAGCCCCCTTGTATCGTGCTATTTACATTTCATGAAATACGGTATTGCGAGATCACATTTGGCAAAACTTTTCCTTAAAAACAGTTTTATTCTTTAATCCTCTTTTTATTGGTTAGAAGCAAAACAAAATGGATCATACATTTAAAGGCTGAGACAAGAAAAAATACATACCATTCTAGAAATGTTTAGCAAGCAAATACCCCAAGAATATTTATCCAAGTGGTTACCCTGTGATATCTGAGGAGAAACGTGAATGCAGTTTTCTGGGCTATCACACTTTAATATGAAATATAAGCCCCCAGTACAGCCACAGGCACTGCCTATAATTTGGGGAGAACACTGTCCTTAGGGAGCATGGCGGGGTTCTTACCTGGCATGACCATGGCCTGTGAGGCTGCAGCATCGCTGCTCACACAGAGACGCCCACCTTTGGCTAATCGATCACAGAGCAAGGTGATGTGTCTCTTCAGTTGGCTCGTGTCTTTGGGTATGTTCAGTTGGCTGCTGAGGCTCAAAGCCTGCTCCTTGGAACTCTTTGACAGGCAGGTTTTCAATAGATGGGCGATGGCAGCATCCACCATTTCTTCCCAGCCCTGCATGCAAAAGCCAATGTGGAATTTGTACAAAAGACAATGAGCAAGTGGCCCTTTTCTTTAACCAAGTCATACAGAAGATCTTTACATTCAAGTGCTGGAAAAGGACCTGGTACCTGCCATACACCAGAACAGCCTAGTTTTGAATTCTACCTCTGTCAGCTGTTTGCCCTTGAATGAGCTACTAATTCCTCTTGGCAGCCTCCTCCAAAGGCTGAAGTGATTAAATTAGTTGATATGTGAGAAGTGTTTTGCTCTGTACTAGGAATAGAATGACCAATAATAATATGATTAATCTCCAGTGCAAGCCTGTTTGATGGTCTAGTGGCTGAAACTGCCAGGAATGTCACTTGTTTTGTCTTATATTTCTGCCGAAGAGGAGTTGGCCCAGCCAGAACCCCTGGATATCTTGGGGGCAAGTAGAGTGGAGAGAAGATCCTGGTGTTTCACTGCTTGTGACAGAGCCTTAGGCTGTAAACAGAAGCCCAAAGAGCTAGTTTCAAGAATGAGTCTGTGAGAAATAAGGGCCTATTTAGTACCACCTCCCTCTCAAGTGACAGTGACATACAGAAATGATCATTTATCCCACTGTTGTCAGAAAGAGTGTTTCTACAGTGAAGATCTGCTGAAGTGTGGTGTCACCTTAGCACGTGGATGCTACAATTCTAGGAACACCAATGCTACAACATTGGAACCTCAACACTGTCACAGGACTAGCACCAGAGGACTATCACAGGCAGGTTCAGATATACTGCTAAGGAATGAAGGGTACAGAGCAGCAGCAGTATGTAAGAAGCTCCCACTAGGTATCATGGAGGGTCCCAAAGATAATGGGTAAGATCCTTATGAGGGCCTAAAGGTCCTAAGCAATATACAAGGGAAGCACAAGCAAAATCTGGGTTACTGTATCACTGTGACTCCATTTTCACCCAAAGGCTGCCCAAGACCCACAGATTAGAATCAAATGAACTTAGTTTGTATTTTTTTGTTGGTGGTGGTGGTCTTTTTGAGACAGGGTCTCCCTGTAGCTCCAGCTGTCCTGGAACTCACTATGTATACCACGCTGGCCTTGAACTTACAGAGATCTACCTGCCTCTGCCTCCCAAGTGCTGGGATTAAAAGCATGTGCCACCAGGCCTGTCAATTTGATGGAATTTTAAATATTAGTCCCTAACACTTCATTTCTGAACAGTTCGCTGGGGCCTACATTTTGATGGACTTTTTACCCAATGCCCAACCTCAAAGTCAACTATGTCACATGGTAAAATTATTAGTATAATTTATATAATATGCTGAAATTGAAGTGCTTTT